CTTCGCAAAAAGGTTAGGAAACATTAATATAACTACCGTAGTACAGTAGTTTGCCAGCCAATGCTCTGATGATTACCATTTATATCTACGAATATCTACTCAAGGAGGAGATCACGGCTAAGTGGATGCCTTCAGAGGAAACGACTGATTGTAATCACATAACAGTAACATTTTCTATGGATCAGTACGCTCACAAGCTATCCCAGTAATTTTCCTGGTCCCTGGTAAAATCTAATCATTGTTATATCGATAAGCAATCAAGGAAGGTGAATCGATGGCAGAGAGTCTTGCGAAGTCATAGTCAAATTTTATTACGGGAAATACTTACAAGCGGTTGCTTTCTAGTCCCATAGGGTTTTAGCGCAGATGAATCGATTCACATTTCATAAGAAGTAGATGAATGTCACAATTTGTCCTTGTTTCATGCGCTTCTACGGATGTTGAAATTCAAGACTTTGCAAAGCTTCATCCAGTTGGTGCTTGAATGAATCAATTGTGGCTGCAGAAACAACGTGTGGTGGTAGATAATTCCAAGTAATGCACACTCTGAGGGCATTTTTGGGGCACTAATTTGAATGAGTGTCCCCCTCAGGTGTGTGTTGGAAGACAAGGAAAAGAGTGGACGACATGGGTGATCTGGGTTCTGCATTATTTGATATACCAAGATCAAGTCCCGTCGAATGCGGCGATACTGTGTTGAGTACAGTTGCAGTGATTCCAGTCTTTCCGCATAACTCTTGGAATGCAGACCCTTGACCATTTTGGTGACCATTCTTTGTGGACGTTTCAGAATATTCCGATCGCGTTGCAGCCATAGATTCCATGCTGTAATGGCGTACTCTTTGTGGGGTCGAATGTAGGCTGATAAAAATTGTGGGAACAGCGTAGGTTTAAATTTGTCAGCTACTCGTTTTAGCAAACCAACATGTCTTACAGCGGTAGACGACGCCCGGGAGCAGGTTAAAGAACAGCCTAAGTCGTCTTAAACAATGACGTCAAGATCCTTCGCATTCGAGATATACGGAAGTTATTGATCTCCCAGGAAATACACAATACCATGTCACTTTGTTTAGTCGCTTCATATGCTAGATTAGAATAATACCATTTGCTGCTCCTTATTAAATAATTTAAACCTGTTAAGTTATATAATCCAGCTGAGTTTTAAAACAACAAATTAAACAACAACATTACATTTGGTACGGAAAAGATGAAGAATGCAATACTGAACGGATCACATATTATCCGATCCCTTTTATCTCGTTCTACTTCACTTTATCTCTTCATTGTAAGCTGCTTAAAGGCAGAAAAATATTTGATTCAACTATTCTGAAATATAACTTAAACACGTTTTAAATTTTCAGACACCTAAATGTAAATTCCCGGAGACAAAATTGCGAAAAGAAGCTTGTTCACTATATTTTTGTCTTCAAAAGTTATTTTATGTTTTTAATAAATCCTCGGCCTTGATAAACCATTCTACAGTAAACCTAGAGCTGCCTTCTCTTACCTTGGATTGGTTGAATAGTATATGAGAAATGCATATTTACGAGATCAGAATTATAGGCCCCAAATTTTGCATTACTGGTAAGTGTAAAACCTTACTTATTTTTAGCTGGAGCTACCGTAGTGGATGCATAATCATATATAAATAAAATACTCAGCTTCCGTGAAGCGGGTTGTAAATCCAACCACCTTCCTAGATGTCAACTTATTGGCTTACTAAACAAAGGTCGTATTACGCTATGATAATTCCAATTTATCGCAAACAGAAGAAACCACGGACACACAAAACTCATGGAATATATATTAGCTTTTGAGACCGGAGATGAATGTGGAGAAGTATTCTTATTTTTAATTCATTTGAATACACTTCACTGGTGAGTGATAGTATAATATCCTATCAGAAAGCGCCATACTAAGAGGTCTTTGTTTGGCATTCAGACTTACATTATCGTGTATCTCTGTACCACACTATAATCATTGGTGATCATACTGTTAAAACTGTTCGCTCGTAGGACATAGGTATTTTGGATGATAGGACCACTAAAGTTACATAGTGATTCTACGCACTGAATCCATGTTTTTGATCGATTAAAAAATTCTATTGTCGGCATTCTTCGGGGAATAAACATTACGTTTGTTGGAGGAATACCTGCATTATATAAGACTGCCTGTCTGTAAGGTCCATCATACTAGATATCATCTCACTTTTACTGATTTTTAGTGTACACGCACGAATTATAGGTTTATATCATCAGTTTATCAGCGGGTTGGTTGCGTTATTGCTACAAGTTAATTATCATCTGGATCCAGATGGTTTGGCAAAGGACTTATGGTATATGCGTTTTTGCAACAAAGAAAAGAATCTGGTTTTTATGTTTGCGGTGGTGTTATATTTCTCAAGTCACTTCGGGTAGTTTCCGGGAAGGATTTACGATCGGATACTTGTGCCAAATTAAACCTTAACTAAAGCAGGCTGCAGGGTGATCAACGAGATCAAGTACGTGGGGTTTCTGAAGTATTTCAATACAGAAGGCTTTTAATAAAACAAGCAGCTCCATTAATCCGAAATCTGACTTTATAACACTGTATTCTAGGAAGTGCTGTTGTGGGCTTTCAAACATTTTTAGACGGAACGAACATTTTGTACTCCGAAAAATAGTAAAAGAAAGTTAACGAGACATTCGTCGGCTTTAATTTGCGCTTAAGAAACCACTGAGCTGCTTTCTACAAGCTCAGATGGGATGAAAAACAAAAGTAATCAAATGTCAAATTTCTGAATCAGACATATCACTTCAATTCAACTCTTTTGCTAATCGCATAAAGACGTTTTGAATTGACTTCATCAAACTTTATAATTACCCTAGGTCTGCAGTTATTCTTTTGTTCATCTGAACGTCCGAAAATCATCATCACTGAACGAAGGAGTACTGTAAAGCACAACGTGGCGATCGCAGTCAGGGTCACAATGTGAAAAATTTTGGTGTTGGACGGGGTGTAAAATCGTTCGACAAAAGGAGAAAGTGAACTAGTGCAGTTAATGATCAGTACATAGGTTCTCTGGGCGCGCATCTCTTTGAGCAGCCTACACGGATGGAATATGCTAATGAGAACGCTACTGACGTCAATTTCGGTCAGAGAGTAGCAGAAACACCAGCGTAGAAGACAAAACTGTTCTGCTTAACCTTTTCGTGCAGTTATTTTATACCTCATATCTAAGCCATCTGTTGACCTATACCATGGAGCGGGAGTGTAAACAACGGGAACATATTATACAGCTGTTCGTCGTGCTTAAAACGGTTGGCAAACAGCAGATTTATCGTGTAACTGAAAGCAGATTTTCAGCCGAGATACTCCTAAACACCTGATCGTTTACATTCACTTCACCAACCCAGTGCTCCACCTCACATATTCCAAACTGATAACCGACAGTGAAACCTCCAGTCTACGGGTTTCTACAGTAGCAATTCGCAGTTGCTTTGCGGTAGCCATATTCCTCCTATGTTTACTGTATAATAATATTTCACGCAAGTCTGCTTAGTTTATTATAAATCGGTTCCTCAATAATAAAAAGCCAAACTGGCGCTCACCAGATTTGGACTTCTATGGGATACAAACTCATCAAAATCTCAGCCACTGGACTGACGCTTTATCTCACTTTAAAAGTGTAATGGCAACCAAAGACATCAAAATACTCTCAGTTGCATCTTTGCCCATCCTCATGTACAATGAAATGCAAAAAATACAAGTTTCATGGAAAAACGTGAAAATTAACACTACATTTTATTCAATAATGTTTTTGCACATTTAACTATTCGTAACTAGGGTTTATGATAGGGAATGAAGAGAGAGAGGTCAATTTGACAGCATTCAAGCTAACTGCATTCAAAAACGTAAAGTGATGACACATTATTCGATTGGAGATAGACTGCTTTGCTTTCCACCATAATATCTTCCGAGATCGCGATCTTTGGTGGATAGATCACACGTGGTGTGATATTTTTGCAGACTGAAGAAAAGTCATATACAGATCCATCAGTGGTGGAAGGCATGAGAAGTGCGACAATAACTGCCGGAAAGCGATCAGCTCTTCTGACAAATATTTCTGCATTATTTCTTCCGGTCTGCAAAGGATTTGAAAAAATCACGTAAAACATTTAGAATAAAATACGAGAGTTTTCTATAACCTCACACGAGTTACTGCTAGTTAATTATGATTAGAGTCTGAATTTATGGTACCATGACTTGTTTGGCACACACTTCGGCGTGAGATGTGTGACTTATAATAGTATATCTTATCAGTGCATAAAAGCAATCAAGTAAATACCATCTTTTATAGCTGAAACTTTTAATTTAAATGTTATAAGGTTTTCTTTAGAAATCAAACGATCACTAGAAGAAAGATTACATGTTTGTGCGATATTCTTTAGCAGCTTTGTTTTATATAAAAGGGAAAACAATTCATAAAGGAGATAAACTTACAGAAGATCGTGGTGTGAACCACTCAAACTCCCCCCAAATTAAACTTGGCATTTTGCGGAGTGAAATAAGCTTTTGGACCATTTTTATAGCGGATGGTCCTCGTCCGGCGGACAGTGCTGACTAAAAGGAATTTGGGGACAGTGTCACAAGAGACTGTAATCAACTTCTGCTGAAGATAAATTACAAATAGAAAATAACTAAGTATCCAAAGAAACGGATTACTACCGACAGCTTGAATTAATTGACATTTTATCCTTTGAGAGAGGAAGTGAAATTAGTCTTAATCAAGCAGCGTTGAACACAAAGCTATTGAGTTCAGTCAAATGTGAAAACATACAGCATGTGAAAATATAAACAGCAAATCTATACATCTTAGAAATTAACATGAAAAATTAGATTTTTGAATTATATAGCTATATTTTTGATAAGATAACATTGATTCCTGATTAATAACTGTCCTGGAAGCCGCAAACAGATATATGAAGAATTAAGCATTTTATTACAACACATCATATGAATTACAATGAGGCACAAACCTCAACAGTTTCTTTGATCTCAAACGACTGTAGGTACTCTGTGAAGGTTGTGTTGGTGACACCAGCAGAAAATTCCAGACCGGACTGGCTCCATGGCATTGGAAGATGACATGTGAGGACACTATCTCTGTTCGAAAAATTGGGCAGTGGTACTTTTCCCATTGGGAACAGTTCCTTGGGTGCTACTTTGCTTGGTTTCAATTCTGTGGCCAGTTCTGATCCGTAATAAATTAACGGAGAACCTAAAATAAACCAGACGAAATTGGACACAAATTGTAAGCACACCGGTTGTTACAGTTCAGTTCATAGCCGAATTCAACAAACCATTAAGAGTACTATTATCGGAAAACATTCTTGGCACATTCAAATGATTAATCCTCCAAAACCTTTTAGGCTTCTTTAGCTCCAAGTTGTGGGATTTATCCCTTCGGAAACTGCTTATTCCCTGCAAGTTGTAATTTATTCAGTCATAGAGATCCTATCTTAATGCGGTTAAGGATTGATTTTTCTAATGATACAACTAGCACTTGAATTAATTATTGTTGATTAACTTCTGCAATAAACACTAACATGACAAGCAGAAGTATTTAAATGACAGCAAATAGTATTGCAAATAAACGAGCTACCCGGAAATGACATAAGTATAAAAAATCTATCCTCATCGGTGTTAAACTGTTTCACTGCTGATTTTATCGGTTTTCGTTTCGGAACTATTCCGAAAAAATTAGTAATATGTTAATGACGAATCTTCAAAAGCTAAGCAACTTTAGATATCTGCAAACTCCTCACACACCCGCGGGCTTGTAATTCCTTGCCAATAATTTAATCAGTTCTACGGTGTGTTGCAGATATGTGCGTGAAGCTTAGGAATCTTACGTTACTGTTGTTCAAGAAACGTTACGTGCTCTGGCACTGCGTAAGACCTCTTGGAAAGGTCGTATACGCGATTTTCATGTCAGAAGATAAGCAAAAGTTAATACTAGGTACTCATTGACTAGATGTTTTAGGATTTTATAGTCTGGATATGACATGTCACCAGATAGGTGCAGTCAGTAGGCGTATTTTTCTGCAATTAGATGAAGGCTATTGGATTCAGAACGTCGTGAGCGTTAATTTATAAAAACCCTTAAAAATAGACCTGGTGACGCCAAGCTTACTCAGTATTGCATACACCGTATTAGAACGATATTTCTACTCCAAATGTAACGAATATATGCAATAAACTTTCCAATTTAAACTCACTCAATTGGCCGTATTGATGGTATTATATAATTTTATCCATTGCAGTTTACAGTGAGTCTAATGTGCCTATTCGTTTCATTTGGATACACCTCTTAAATTACGTACCGCTACAATGTCACTATTCTGTCACAAATTTATTAGCAACAATGTGATTAATGAAATTCGAGACAATTACCCATCAACCTAACTCTATCAATAAAGATTCGAAGAAATATTAGGGCTTATATACCTTTTTTGACGAGAACTAAACATCTTGAGCAGTCTACTAGCAGACCGAATCTCTAACAAGCCTTTATCATCGAAACTGATGCATTCTAGCATCCGTGAGGAAACTTATCAACTATAAGATAAGGGAAACCAAACTTTTAGCCACAACAACTGACACTTAATCACTCTTATTTTTAGATCTACGCTTTGGAAACTGATCTTTTAACCAATAATAATAAATTTAAACAAATTACTTGATTTTATCAATTTCTGCCCGAAATAAGCTACGTTTTGATTAAAATGCTCGTCAAGGTGCTGCGTAAGGTGTTTCTAAGAGAACTACTCGGCAGCAACGGGATTAATTATTTTCCAGGTTTACAGAAGCATTTAATAATTTTCAAGACTAAAGGAATACAGTGAAACACACCAGGTAAAAGGAAAATAACAGCTAATGACAGAATATTATCTTGTCTTTGATCACTGGGCGAGGCGGTGGCCAGTCCAAGTTGAGGCCTTTCCTTTGCATATGTTTTGTAGTATGAAGCAACATTAACATTCATCCAGGCTTCTTGCAAAGGAGATGACTTCCTGAAAACATACATTATCATTGTATTGAGCATACCATCCCCGGTTCTTCATAAACTGCCTGCTTATAACCAAGTGGGCAGCGGGATCATCGTTGGTCCCCAGAAATTTCACCACATCGTCAAACTCATCAGAGAGACCGTAACCATAATCACCCGCATCCACAGCAAGCAGACTAAAAATGAAAACTTCCGTATTTGAACCTACCGTTTTCTAGTGGTGAGCTGAGAGGCTTCGTCCAATACTTTTCTTACGGATCGAACAAAGTTCACACTTCCATTTCTAAACAGCTGTTTGGAAGGGTATTTTGAGAACCATTTGCTTGCTCCCTGCATCTATGATTACTTTATATCACCACCTACTTCATTTTTTACGACAATTTTCTGAAAGTCATCGTTGTTTTCTTCAACAAATAATGAAGCATCCGTCAACAAAATTCCGTCAACGCCTTCGGAAACCCAAAACCTCACAACATCCTAAAAGCGCATTGTGAACGAAAAGTACACTCACCAGAAGACGGTGCACGACCTCTGTCGACTCCATGTCCAGATCAACTTTATTCACGCCAGAAACTGAATAGTATTTTTTACCAGAAATTGAAACAACGGCTTCCCTGCCATCTCGTGCATACTACCAAAAGAAATGACTGCAAGGTAAATAAACTTACCGCTATTTCTGGTAAACTGGCCTTTAGCAACAAGCTTTCGTTTACCCATGGATGAGTCAAGGATACTGCATTGAAGTCCAACGTTATTACGACTTCTAACCCATTCTTATGATAAGTTCGTATCAATGACCTGAAGTCATCCATTGTACCGAGTGCAGGATCGACATTGACGAAATCGTCAATGAGGCCCAATTCACTGTGAGCGTTCGTGAACTGTCCAGAAAGGAAAGATCCGATTACGATGTAGCCTGCACCAATGGTGTCCTTGATGTAACTTAGAGAATCCAGCAACCCGCGGATATCACCAATCTTGTCTTTTCCCGAGTCCTTAAACGCAAACGGATCAACCCAATATCCAACCTTTGATTGCCAAAACTCTAGAGTTGGTCTGGGTGGGCATTTTGGAGTGAAAACGATGATCAAAACGGCAGCCGCTAACAGGCTCAACCAAAATACCCAAAAGAATATTAGTAGAGCCAAGCGCGCTCGTCTCCAAAAGGGTTCCCGCAAGTCCAACTTCATCAGATCTTCGCGTGTGAGAAGTTGCTGCAAATCGTCCACCTTTGAACCATTTTCTTCTTTACTAGATTTCTTTGAGGGAATGAACTTCACGCACTCCTCTGAAGTGCCTTCCACATCTCCGTTCATGGCCGCGTGTATACTCATAAATGAACTAACTTCTGCGCCAAAAAAGCAACGTCGAATGGAAAAAATAATTCTAAGAATTAAAACAAACGAGACAGTTCAGGTCAGGTCAGGTTGCACAGGACTGAATATGGCCACAGCCAATCCAGCGTCCAGAATTCCTTCGATGGTATGCTCACTGAGTGGGCACCCAGCACTGCTGAAATACCGTCCAGAATTCCTTCGATGGTATGCTCACAACGTGGGCACCCAGCACTGCTGAAATAAGGAATTGAGAAATAAATCTCATCTCACCAAGTTGGCGAGTGAATTATTAGACGTGAGCATTCCATGCGTGTACGAGTTAAAAGGGAAAAGGCATCCTAAACATTTGGCACACTTACATACGTCTACACTTCCATTGATGGGAATAGTTCCACCCATCGCTTATCGAGTGCAGTCTTAAGTGCTTGCACAGTTTGGAGGTCGACGATTTCCTTGGGAAGCCTGTCCCAACTGTCGACTATCCTATTGCTGAAAAGTGCTTCCTTATATTTAGTCGACATCCCTGCTTCATGAGCTTGAGCTCATGACCCCTAGTGCCGTGTTGGGGAGCTAGTGTGAAGAGACTGTCCGCTTCTATCCCCGATATTCCCTTTATGATTTTGAAGCTTTCTATCAGGTCTCATCGCAGTCTCCTTCTTTTTAATGAGAAAAGCCCTAGAGCCTCAACTCTTTCCTCATACTTTTCCCCTCTGGCCTTCAACCATTCTGGTGGCCAATCTATGCTGTTACTCTAAATAGGCAGCATCCTTCTTGAATAAGGGTGCCCAAGCCTGTACACAATACTCTCGGTGTGGTCTGACTATGGCCTTGTAAACGGGAATGAAACTTCTGGTCTTCTGCATGTTCGGAACAACCGTAGACTGAATAATTCCCCCTAGCCTTGCGCGCTGCTACTGCACACTGAGCAGACCACTTAAAGTTGTTCAATATCATGACCCCCAAGTACTTAACCCTAGGAGCGGGTTTGTAAGGTGCAATGGCTCCGTCCACGCGTGGCCCTGGTTAGTTAAATAGACGGTATTACGGACCACCGGACA